GATAACTAGAGTTCCTTTTGACCTACAGCCCTCAAACTTCATAGGATGATTGGTCTTATAGAGCAGATGATCCCTATTGTTTTTGGGGTCAGTAGGTCAAAGGTCAAGGTCACAGTGACCGTTGGTCAATTTCTCGTTTCCGGATGATAACTAGAGTTCCTTTTGACCTACAGTCCTCAAACTTCATAGGATGATTGGTCTTATAGAGCTGATGATCCCTATTGTTTTTTGGGTCAGTAGGTCAAAGGTCAAGGTCACACTGACCGTTGGTCAATTTCTCGTTTCCGGATGATAACTAGAGTTCCTTTAGACCTACAGACCTCAAACTTCATAGGATGATTGGGCTTATTGAGCAGATGATCCCTATTGTTTTTGGGTCAGTAGTTCAAAGGTCAAGGTCACAGTGACCGTTGGTCAATTTCTCGTTTCCGGATGATAACTAGAGTTCCTTTTGACCTACAGCCCTCAAACTTCATAGGATGATTGGTCTTATAGAGCAGATGATCCCTATTGTTTTTGGGGTCAGTAGGTCAAAGGTCAAGGTCACAGTGACCGTTGGTCAATTTCTCGTTTCCGGATGATAACTAGAGTTCCTTTTGACCTACAGCCCTCAAACTTCATAGGATGATTGGTCTTATAGAGCAGATGTTCCCTATTGTTTTTGGGGTCAGTAGGTCAAAGGTCAAGGTCACAGTGCAGTGGGGGAGACATGCGCTTTTTTACAAAAGCATCCTCTAGTTTAAGCAATGTTTGGGCATAAAAAAGGTTTAATGATTTTGTTTAATTAAAATATTCTGGCCTTGCAATGTTTATTATCTGTGATAAATTGTATTACTTTAGCTTTTTTATATTTCATACAGTTTATGTTGTTTTTTGTATTAATACAACTTGTGTTGTTGAGAAACAATGTATTTATATGGGTATTAGCTTTTGTTTCTATATTAAACTTATAAACATGTATAATAGGCAAAAAGGTATTGGGAAATGAAAGTTTGAAATAGCAATTATTTTCTGTTAGTAATGTTACTATCAAAAGAAAAAAGCTTTAATATAATACACTTTGTTTTGTTTTTATTTGAAGAAACCAAGCTAATTTTTATAAAATATTACACTTGGCGTATGGCTTTTAACAGAATATTGTAGCATGGTAGTTTGTAAAACTGTTGCTTCAATAATACCAAGAAGTACCTTTTAAGAAGATACTTGTTCGTGGTAATACACTCAGAGGCACTTATAACCCGACACTGACATTTTTCTGTATAAATGCGTTATTTGTGAATGGATTTTGTTCAAATTTGGACTTTACAAATTTCAACATATCATACTTACTACTTCATGTAATTGGAATTATATTTACAATTCATCGATAAGAAAATAGAAAAAAAAGCAAAACAAATAGGCTACTGTAAAATGAAAAGTCACAAGATGACTGTAAAAATGGTAACACAATGAAAAAGTCTCTGAATCCCATTAAATCTGTATGTTTACCAGTTCTAACACTTTGTATGTCCTCCCAATTGGCTATAACAAAGTTTAAACACCTCTGCCTCACAGTTCTCTATTTCTAAATAAGGACTTGCTCGTGTTCCAGCAAATTGCGAGGAGCTTTTGGCCGCTTTTTCACAGGCCTGTTCAATTCAACCGACAATTGTGATGTTTAGATCTGGTGACTTGGAATGCAGGACTTGCTGGAACTCGAGGAAGCCCTTATTCCGGAATGGAGAAATATTCCCCAAGCCTTCACTGCGTCATAACCATGAGACAGGTGTTTACACTTTGTTATAGTCAGGGGATGACACAGAAAGTATTAGAACTGGTAATTATACAGAATCAGTTGGGTTTAGAGACTTCATTGTGTTACGATATCTACAGTCAATTTGATTTTTTCATTTTTCAGTTACATATTTGTTTTGTTATTTTCTCTATTTTCTTGTTAATGAATTGGAAGTAAAAGTCTAGATAAATAAGTATGATATGTTAAATTTTGTATGTTCAAAAACTGAACAAAATCTGTTCACAAATAACCAAGTTATACCGAAAAATGTAAGTGTCGGGTTATAAGTACCTCTGAGTGTACTAGCCAATTTCTGAGTGTTACCCTAATGTTGTATGTTTGAAAAAGTCTTGAATGGGTCTCTTACCTAATATAAAGAGTATCTTTGATTACTCAAACAAATTCACATTAGGGCCTTTCTTGAGTTGTTCTTGTTAATCTGAAGACAGGAGTTAGTGATAGAATATAGCAAGTATATTTAAGCAGTACATTTTCCTGTTCACACCCAAAATAATACAACACGAATTTTATATCCCTTATATTTACCGAAGTCGATGTGAATATTTAACTGGTAAACTGATCATAGCTGCAAGCTGTTTTGACATAATATGCATTTTAACTACAATAACTTATTTCAACGTATTATATGTCAGATTGTAAATCATATTTTGATGATTAAGGGATCATTTGACAGCATACTGCATATCATATTAAAAACTACCATTGTATAAATGCTATATTTATATGCAAACTTCCTGATTGCATATCAAAAAGAATACCCGTTCAAACTCGGGTCGTTTGATTATTCAAGAGTGTTCCCCTTTTCTCTCCAATATGTTTAGATAATTGACTTGAATCTGTATAATGTCAGTGCACTTAAATTATAGGTATACCATGCGCGGATACGAAAAACAGATACCAACGATCAAGTCAGTTAAAAATTTATATGAAACAAGAGGTCCATTATCGCTTAAGATCGCTCACCTGAGATTAAATGCTAGAAATGCACTACTTAAAAATCATTTTTATATTACACTGAATGTCGTTATAAGCAACAATTTTATTAAAAAGATTTTCTGAAAGGAAAAAAAGTATAAAGATTGATGAAAGACCGATGTGCAGACAATCATAAATATTTTTTCCTTGCAACTTCTCCTTTATTTCTCAACGGATTTTAACTTATTGGGTCTGTCAGGACAACTTATGTTTAAAATTTAAATGTGTCTTCCTATATGAGCCTACATTAAATAAACGAACCCTTGGTCGGGACAAATACTGATCCCAGAGGCATTATTTTTATTACTTTTGTAGAAGTCCACAATATCCAAATATCTAATCTTTGAGCATTGTAACTTAACATTGCTTTCCTATTAAAGTCTGTTAATAAAAAAGAGCGGTTTATAAATATATAAATTTGTTCTACTTCCACGGACAACGTACGGTATGCTGGTAGTTGTTGACAAGTATTTTTCCAATATATCAAGTAAAAGTCCACATAAAATAAGTAAATTCATAGATATAAAAGTTAACAGTACATTATTTATACATTTATATACTTTTTGTTATGGTTGTAGAAACCGAAAGTACAAATTGCCTACCAGTAATATTTGTACATCAGTGGGCATATTTAAATTAAAAATGGTTTTAGACATATGTTCAATCATAATTGTACTGATCGAAACAGACTTGATTTTCCTTTGGATGTCAAATATATGTTGGTTTGCGAAGTGCGTGTAAAAAAGTTGATTATAAATATAAATAAACTATACTGAGATAAACAATGCATCACTAGAAAATTTATTTCATTACAAATCTAGTGATATACTACACATGCATTTAACAAATCATGAAAATAATATAAATAACATTCGTTTTACATTATCAAAAGATTACACTCTCTGTTGCTGTTAACATTTGAAAACACGTTGTAGAACTACTTTCAATCCGTATTAACTCCGAGGTTATTATGAATAATAGCCGAGGACGTTCCGATTGCGTCAAGTCTATCTGTAAAGGACGGTTTGTTTGCATGGCTAAAATAGCTTACTCACAATTAAGGCGAAACAAATACGGTGGTTCTCAGATACATGCAAGGAATAACTTAAGTAGATCTGAGCTTTAGTCAGATTGTATGTAGTTATACTGCATTGAATTAACATATATACAAGTTTTAAGTACAAATACAGTCTCAATTCAAAATAAATTAATCATATACTCGACCCCTTAAATGTCCTCAACAATAATTATGATCTCGACAGTCAAAAATATTAAATAAGCTATAAGGTATTACATTTTATTAGTAAAAGGAGATATAATAAACAAATACATACACAGTAATCTCCCTTCGATTGAAATAAACATATATAAAGCTTTTAAATAAGTCAGTGTAACGCCTGAGAAAGCTATAACCTGCGTTCTGCACTGCACATCGTTATCATTCATTACATCGGTTCAAAGGATACAGACCGGACACGAAATCTTGAATGACTAAATGTAACCCTGAATGAGAAACCCTAAACTTGCGCTCTGTACATTGTCTCATTATGTTGCATGTTTTTATTTCATTTTGTTACAAAGATACAGAGCGGACATGAAATTGATAACAGACAGACGGACAGGTGCATCACATAATGCGGATTTTTTTACTTTATAATATCGACTTAAACAGTTATATTAAGTAAGTCAGTGTCCGGTTGTACCTGTTTAAATCATTTATTGCTTTTTATATTAGCGTCATCCATGCTTCAAAGAAGCGCTGGCAACACATTTGTTAAGAGTAATAAGATTTAAATAATTCTTATTTATGCATGAATTCTATTATCAAAATTTAAAACCTTAATTAAGAAATACAGTATTTCATGTCAACAAACATGTTATAACCACAAATTCAAACGCACGCACGCTAACACTCTAGTCATCATTAATCATTAATAAACAGTGATTGGCGGTACTAAACAATTAATTAGAAAATGATATATGATAATATGATAACAATGAATAAATTTTATACTATTTGCTTCACATTTCAACGCTACATTTTAGAACGAATACTGATACGAATAATTTATACATATTTTAAGTTGTCAGTTCATACATATGAAAAAACTCATAAGAAAACATATGTTTTGTTTACAAATTTCAACACATTTCACATAAATGTAAGCAACGTAAAAACGTAACGTACGGATTAACACGTTATGTTATCACAAAATAAACATGAACTTCATTATGCTTTAAGTCTTTCTATTTTTATCATATCAGCAAATTTTTCCGCGACTGCAATAACAGCTGCGTTTGTGTTGGCAGATGGAACTGCTGGAAGTACAGAGGCGTCGCAAACACGTAGATTTTTGATTCCTTGAACTTTCAAATCTAAGTCTACAACTCTAGTAGGATCTCCTTTCGTTCCCATCTTACATGTACTTGTTGAGTGATAGAAACTGACCGAAATATGACGGAGCATACATCGCCAGAAATCATCTGATCTAAATTCATGCTGAGAACAAAATGACGCCTTATTCATACCTAAGTCAGCTTTAATGCTTTTCATCGCTTCTGTTGACAACATTTCTTCAATTATACGAATTCCAGCTAGGAGAGCATTCTCATCTCGCCTGTCTTTTAGATGGTTTGTATCTAATATAGGACTGTCAAACGGATCAGTACTTTGTAATCGTACACTTCCGATGCCCTTTGGATGCACTAATGTTAACATGATATTAAATCCGGGTGTATTAACGTACGGGTAAATTAACTCACTTGCAACTGTTTCATTGTAACCAAGAAACTTGTTATCGCCGAAAGTAGTAGGTACTAAAAAGGCCATGAAGTCAGGCCGCTCTTTTCCAATCCTTGCCTTGTCAATATGAAGAAACGCGACACTGTCAGCTAGTGAAGTTAAAGGTCCTGTTCCAAACAATGTGTACTCAAGAAGAGCCCATATACTCTGTGCTTTTTGTTTATCCAAATGTACAGATTGGTTTATTCTAGAGGAAATTGCTATGCTTATATGGTCATCAAGCTTCTTTCCAACAGGTAAATCCTTTATTAATGGGATACCAACATTTTTTAAGTGATCTTTTGGTCCTACACCTGACAACATTAACAGTTTTGGCGAATTAAATGTGCCACCTGACAAAATAATGTCTCTCTTTGCCTTGACAAGTCGTTTTATTCCATTTTTTATAAAATAAACTCCTGTTGCAACACTGTTTTCAATTTTCATTTTTGTAACAAAACTATTTGTAGAAATATCAAGGTTTTCCTTTCTGCCAAATTTACCAAGGTATTCTAAACCGGTACTACTTCGAACTCCATTTCTTACTGTATTTTGGACACGGCTAACCCCAGTTTGGATTTTGCCATTATAATCCGTCTCTTTATAACCTAATGCTTTAAATGCCCTCATAAAATAATCAGTAAGAGGCGTAGATTCTGATTCTGTAACAGCAATTGGGCCACCCTTTCCATGGTAATCTGATGTTTCTAAATGCTCAATTTGAATATCCTCAGCTTTCTTGAAATATGGAAGTAAATCATTGAATCCCCATCCCTTGCAACCATATTTCTTTTCCCAATCATCGAAGTCGAAAGGACTGCCTCTGGAATACATGCACGCATTGATCAGACTTGACCCTCCAATACCTTTTCCTCTGTTGAGCACAGCTGTTTCATCTTTTAGCCCTAGAAACGCCCCTTCCTCCTTTTCGCTTTTATAGAGCCAGGCAAGATCTGAATGAAGATATTCAAAAGCTAAAACCGGTATGTGAACATTAGGGTCATAATCGAAATGTTCTCCGGCTTCAAGAAGAAGAACGCTATATTTGGAATCCTCTGACAATCTGGCCGCTAGAACGGAACCGGCCGATCCAGCACCCACAATTACATAGTCATATTCATCCTTTAATGTTTCAGTTATTAAAGTTTCTCCAAGGCTAGGTCTATTTCTATATCTTAACACCACTTGATACCCAATTGCTAATACAAATACAACAAATGCAGTAAACTTTGTAAATTCCATATCAACATTTGTCAGTTATTTTAAAACGAAAATGTTGTTCAAAAACTATAACGCTCTCCTGTAACTTATATACCCTTCAAAATATTAACTTATTACATCTACGGCACTGTTATTCATTCAGGTATGACTTAAATAAAGCCTTTACAGGTATGTTCATAAAGGTTGTAACTTGATATACCTTTTACGAATCGTTGCGCTCATATAATTTGTCGTTGTATTGAAATTTCAAATCATTTTATCTGAATTATTCATGGTTTAATAAACTCGGATTGTGGTTATATGATTATGATAAAAGCACAGATGCATAAACTATCTAAGCAGAAAATATTTAATGTAAAGAATACTTTTTCTATAACATCTGGTTATTTAAAAAAAACTGAAGACAACTTGACTTCATTGACTTTAATGAAACCTAATAAAGTAATATAACGTTATAAACATAGGGAATTTTTGTAATGTTATACTTTAATTATTTGAGTAAAAATATTTATATAAACGGGACTTTGTGCATTTTTCTTACTTTTCGATATGCTTATACTTTGTAAGGTGGTTTAATGAACTGATGTTTGAAGTGATGGGATAAAAAAGGTTTAAAGATTTTTAGCTCACCTGAGCTAGCATCATCAAAATTTTGTCAGGATGTTTGTCTAGGTAATTGCTCAGATGAGTTCAAACATAGGTCATCTCGGACGAAAAACTTGGTTTAAAACTTTGTTTTGAGGATTTCTAGGTCAAGTTCGAATACGGGTCACCTAGGGTCAAAAACAAGGTCATATCGCCCAAACATAGAAAAATGTTGTTACCATTCTAGTGGTCACATTTGTGACTTTTATTGTCACCAAACTTTGTCAGGATGCTTGTCTATGTAATTGCTCGGATGAGTTCGAACGTGGGTCATCTCATATGAAAATCTAGGTCACAGGAGCTAGAAATAGATAAATCTTGTTAACACACTTGTGGCAAGTGTTTTGATCCAAATATCCTGAAAAATTGTCTGAAAGTTTGTTTTGATGATTTCTAAAATATGATAAACAAGATCAACAAGGAAAGACGGTGTTCAATGAACGTTCAATGAATGCTTGTCTTGGTAACTGCTCGAATGGGTTCGAACATGGGTCATCTTGGATAAAAAAAACTAGGTAACAGAAGATAGAAATAGAAAAAATCTTGTTAAAACTGTAGTGGCTACTGTTTTGATCCAATATCCCGGAAATTGGTCTGAACGTTATAAAACTAAGTCACACTGCTCAAATATGGAAAATCCTTGTTAACACTCTAGTGGTAACATTTTTGACTCACGCGTCATGAAACTTGGTGAGAATGCTTGTCTTGGTAATAACTCGGATAAGTTTGATGGGTCAGGTGAACGATCTAGGGCATCTTGGCAGACCTGGGGTAAACATTCATTGAAATCATTGATTTTATTAATCGATTACATGATTAAACTGTAATCATCATGTAATTGATTACCTTGCCCAAAATTGATTAATTCAATTGTAATCAATCAATTACAGCTAAAATTCAGTTAGTAATTATGATTACAATTTGATTGACATTGATACTTTCAGATTTAACAGAAAACAATTTTAATTCAAATGATGCCTTTATTTTACATGATATAGTTTAACTTTTTGTTTTACATTTATACAGTAAAAGCCCATAATTAAGACTATCATATGCGCTGGCGGCCCAAAGTGGTCTTAATTGTGAGGTGGTCTTAATTGTGAATATTCTTTTCATTGCTTGCATACTTTATGACAATGGTCTGCTAAAGCATGTATTGCCGAATTAGTACCTAGTTGGTACAAAATTTCCCATGTTCCTCGCTAAGGTCGTGGTGGTGGAGAAGCGGTTATTTACAAGGCAACTACAAAACTTATTATGTTTGCATCCAGTCGCAATGCTAATATTACCTCGTTTGAATATATGGACTGCAACATCACTGTAAGAAACTTTTCTCTACGATAAGCTGTAGTATATATGCCGCCTCCAAACAAACACAACGGCTTTAAGACTAGTACATTTCTTGAGATACCAGAGATACAGACTCAAAAGTATCAAATGTAGAAATATGTGATCCTGGACTCCCAGTCAATAATGGAAACACGTCTCGTGATCACTTCGCTGTTGTATTTAATGCTAGTGTATCAAAACCACCACCAGTACGAAAAACTTTGACTTACAGAAAATTAAAATCAATACATGTTAATGAGTTTAAAACAGATATTTTGACATCTGATATTTTAAAAGGTGTCAAAGAAAGCTCCAATGTTGATGAACTAGTCGATGCCTACAATAACGGCCTTTCTCTCCTTCTTGACAAACACGCACGTCCAAGAGCATTGTTCTAAGACCAATGAAAACGTGGTATTCCCAAGAACTACATGATGCTAAACATTTAAGGCGTCAGTTAGAGTGTAAGTGGCGTTTGACTGGATTGAAAATTGCCATTCTTAATTTAAAGAAACCAATGCGCTGTTACGAAAAAGCTTCTAAATCTGTCCAAGGTCAAATACTACACCGAGAAAGAAGTCATGTGGTTGTATATGAAAAGCCTTAACAAAGTGACCCGGCATTTGATGGATGCAAACACCGATGTTGTGCTGCCATCTGGTAAACCTGCAAACGTTCTAGCAAATGACTCTACTGACTTCTTTGTGGATAAGGTTGAAGGCATACATAATGGTAAAGCCAGGACCAAGTCTTACCACCACACAGACACTGTTCCCTGAAGCACCTTTTAATGGAGAGCAATTTTCAAACCTTTCAGTAGTCTCTGATATGGAAATATCAAAAATCATTCGCAATTCGCCAAAACTCCTGTGAACTTAACCCCATTCCAACATGGCTGATGAAAATTTTTTTAAATGAACTATTTCCATTAATCGCAAAAATCACAAACACTTCACTTTAGAATGCCCTACCTAGAACACTTAAAAGCTGTGAAACTCTAACAGTGTTTAAGAGAGCACTTAAAAAACTCACTTATTTAAGAGGCTTTATTTAGACTGATTATGTTTTAGGTTCTTACCTGAATTTCATTATTTATGTGGGTCTTTTTTACATTTTTAAAACTACATTTGATTTGAATTTGTGACTTGAGCAATATTGATGTTTTAATTTATTTTTTCTTTTAAATATTGTATCATCTATTTGGTTATATTGTACAGTGCTTTTGAACGTGTCAATGTGAATGAAAAAAGTGCTTAAGAAGTTTGGTATATAATAATAATAATAATAATAATAATAATAATAATAATAATAATAATAACTTAAGGGAAATGAAAATTTAGCAATTATTATTGCGTTTGTTACGGTACTATCAAAAGATAAAGCTTAAATATAATAATGTACATTGTTTTGCTTTTATTTGAAGAAAATAAGCTAAACTTTTTAAAAATATTTAACTTGGCCTATAATGTTAATCTGCACAGCCGTGTTTTTTTATTTAATTATTTTACCATGGTAGTTTATAGGTCTGTTGCTTAAATAAACGACCAATAACTACCTTTAAGACAAAGATATTTGTTCATGGTAATACTGTTTTAGTGTGAACTTAATGTTGTATGTTTGTAGAAGTTATAAATTCTTATTGGTAACAAAGTAACTATATATAATAACAAAATTTAGAGAATTTCAAAGCAAATGTGCTAAAACCTTGCATTTGTTGTAGCAATTGCAAACCATCGAAATGGATAGGGTTTCAAAACGTTTGTCCTTAAACTTATTACCTTTAAATGAAACCGGTTCATGCTCAGCAAACGCACCAATAGTATATCATAGGTAAAATTAAGATGAAACATATTTATGCCCCCAGGCATAAAGTAATTTAACCTCCGTCCGTCTGTTCATCTGTCCGTTCAAGGTTAACCTGAAACGACAAGTTGGATTTCTCTTAAAATAGATAAATACAGAATCCGTAAAGAAAGCCCAACACGGCAAAAAGTCGTGCTGAACGATCTTCAAGGATCACCTGTATCAATGGCAATTTACACATTTACTAATCAACACAATGTACATGCTCTGGGCAAGTTATATAAAAATGGTTTCCATTTGTTCCCATTTATTGCCCTTTTACAGCCTTTTGAAAAAAGATGTGGTTAACATAAACTGGTAAGTTGGAAATATCTTTAGTTCTATTTATACTAAAATTATAGTAACTTCAAATTACCTCACTTACTTATCAAAACAAAGTACTAGATATTGCATAGTATATATGTACGTTTATTATGCTCCCCGAAAAATTTCGGGGGAGCATATAGTCGGCGCCTTGTCCGTCTGTCCGTCTGTCCGTCCGTCCGTCTGTCCGTCTGTCCGTCCGTTGTCTTGTCCGGAGCATAACTTGAAAACCCTTGGAGATAATTTGTTGAAACTTCATACAGTGGTAGAGGGCAGCAAGGGGGAGTGCAGTGTCAAAGAACCATAACTCTATTTTGCCCGGTTTTTGAATTATCTCCCCTTATAGAAAAATCTTGTCCAGGGCATAACTCTAAAACTATATAAGAGATAACAACATGAAACTTTGTAGGTGAATAGATCTCAATGGGTAGATGTGCAGTGCATAAGAACAATAACTCTTTTCATCTTAATTTTGGAGTTATTGCCCTTTGTTAATTTTAATACTTTGAACTTTGTCCGGAACATAACTTGAAAACCCTTGGAGATAATTTGTTGAAACTTCATACAGTGGTAGAGGGCATTGAGGGAGAGTGCAGTGTCAAAGAACCATAACTCTATTTTGCCCGGTTTTTGAATTATTTCCCCTTATAGAAAAATCTTGTCCGGGGCATAACTCTAAAACTATAAGAGATATCAACATGAAACTTTGTAGGTGAATAGATCTCAATGCATAGATGTGCATTGCATAAGAACAATAACTCTTTTTGTCCTAATTTTGGAGTTATTGCCCTTTGTTTATTTTAATACTATGAACTTGAACTTTGTCCGGAACATAACTTGAAAACACTTGGAGATAATTTGTTGAAACTTCATACAGTGGT